TTCTGTAAAGTATGAAAAGAGAGTGTGCTATTCTTAGCGGCATGTTCTAAAACTACTTGGAGTTCCCAGCATGTGACAGTATCTGGCCAACCTCCCTGGGTTCAGCAGCTAAGGAGAGTTGGACTTTGTCAGTAGTTGGATGGGAGCCCACCAAAATTTCCAATCTGTAAGCTAGACAAAAATGTTGGAAAGCATCCTAGAAGACAAACCACTTGTACATTGTTACTAATAAAAAACATGGATATGTCCACGTAGTCACCAGGAGTTGAGATTGAATGTAGGGAATCCTATGTTTTTATGGCTACTGAAGGTTCACAGAGGAAGTCAGAAAAGATCATAAGGAGGCCTTCAGTGAAGAGAGAAAAGGCAAAAGTAAAGGAAACAGAACCTTGGATAGCTCCATGTAAATCCTGAGTTGAGTATCTCTACTATTAGATTAGAAAGATTTTGTCTTATAACATTGTGAACACTTGAAGACCTACTTGTTGCATGCAATCTTTTTGGTCTTGAAGATATCCCTGGTGCTCTCATGCTATTATGGACAATCCAGTAGTGAAAGTGATGGCTGAGCTCATGTCAAAACCAAGAATTGTGTAATGCCTCTGCTTCAAGAGGAATGCACATCAATCTGTATGTTTTCAGCATTTGATCACCATTTGGAGACTAAGTATGCAAGATGACTGGCCTGACTCCAAATCTGTGGATTTCAAAATGCAATAATATGAGAAGCATAGAATATCAAAATATTGACTTGCTTTCTAATTGAGGACAGTTTTTCAATTCAATAAAGGTTTAAATCCTATAGTCATCCTCCTTAAGTCCTGCTATGTTGCCTCATTGTTGTACTGTGGGTGTTTGTGAGAGGAATAAAGGAGGAATGCCAAGAGTGTATGGCAGAAGTATATAATCCCAACAAGGTTATCAAAACTGTGAAGGTCATCCCAGCTGCTCAGCTAAAGCAAGCAGGAATCTATATTGCAAAGCAATAATATAGGAAGATGCTGGAGAGAAAATATCATTTTAGTGACAGTGGGAAAGGCATCACTTCATACTGTGCAAGAGGAGGCAGTGGTAAATTATTCCTGTATTTTACCAAGGAATCCATGTGGATAGATGATATAAGGTGATTGATGTTATACTGCTAGACAATATCCCCTCAAGTTGGATGGCATTTAATATGCTATTGAGGAAGAATTTTGATTTAGGATACTTATTTATTTAGGAATTTTATATTGCTGCCTATTCACACATGGTGAATCAAGGCGACTTACAAGAATATAAAAACCTCATATAAAAACCAATCAAACTAATAAAAAAGAATCATATAATAAAATAATATAATAAAATAACCCCCCACCCCCTGCCCCAGTGACAACACATTACATGAGCCATTTAATGGGCTCCATCCAGGGGTGGTATTCAGCAGGTTCTGACCAGTTCTGGAGAACCGGTAGCGGAAATGTTGAGTAGTTTGGAGAACCAGCAAATACCACCTCTGACTGGAGATTTTACAGTATCCTTCCCCTGCCACGCCCACCAAGCCACGCCCACAGAACTGGTAGTAAAAAAAATTGAATCCCACCACTGGTTCCATTCCGCTCTGCGTTCCCCAAGCCTGCTGGCAGAACCAGGTCTTCAGTACCTTCTGGAAGAGTGCTAGAGGTGGGGGCCATTCTAATCTCTGGGGAATGATGTTCCAGAGAGAGGGAGCCACCACGGAGAAGGCCCTTCTTCTGGGTCCCACCAGGTGTATCTCCCTCAGGGATGGGACCTGCAACATTCCTTGCCTCCCTGCTCTGATGGGTCAGGTAGATGTGACCCGCAAGAGACATTCCCTCAGAATGGAGGATCTTTTGGCGTACTAATGTTAATTATGATTTAATTGTATTAAAGATTGCAAGGTGTCTAATGATACTAATGTTGCCACAAGAAAAAATAAAACACAACTGCAAAGACAGATTTGGAGTGGGAAGATGGAACATAACAAGCCTGGGAAAACTCAACACAAAGAGAGGTGAAATGAATTGACTACACATTAACATCCTAGCCTTGGAAAATTGAGGACACTTTCAGTCATATAATAACAATGTTTACTACTCAGAACACACACAAACATACATACAACCCCACCCCAAGAAGAATGGTTTGGCTTTCACAGTCAGGAAGGGTTCAGCAAGAACAGTGCTTGTTACAATGCAATCAATGACTAAATAATATCAATTAGACTTCATATTAACCTTTTAATAAGATAACCGTTGACTCGAAGTTTATGCTCCAACCACTGATGCAGGAAAGGAGGTAGATGAGTTTTATGATTAATTTCAATTTGAAATCAATAGAATGTGCAAGCAAGATATGCTGCTATACTATTTTTTTTCCTCAAAAGTTATACTTTTTAGCAAAAAGATTTGCTAACTGTAGTTTTTCTTGTACATGCCAGTAGAGTTGGCACACTTTGAATTCCTTCAACTAAACAGTGCCATCTATTGGTGACCCAGGAAGTGTGCCTTTTCCATCATAGTGTGGGTCCCACTCTGTTGATGCTCCATAAGGCTATTCTCCCAGGCTTAAGGTAGATGGCACCTCCTTAGGTGGAACTGAGCACCCAGATCCCATTCTATTTTGTTTTGAACTGTGATTTTATTGTTTATTATATTGTGAGCTGCCAAGATCTGGTTTGGATTCTTGCGGCACTTACATGTGTATTAAAATAAATACATAAACAAATCCCCCCCAATCTATTACTATTGCAATTCTTGTCTTCTTGTCCTCTTTACAAGGGATAGAAAGCAGGGGTGGGATTTAAAATTTTTAACAACCGGTTCTGTGGGCGTGGCTTAGGTGGTGGTTGTGGCTTGGTGGTCATGTGACTGGGTGGACATGGCTTGGTGGTCATGTTATTGGCTTGGTGTGGCTGACTCAATATCACTCACATCGAGGCATGCATCTCCTCATCTGGCTTCTCATGACAACAGTTGTAAGTGTGAAAAATTGTTATAAGTCACTTTTTTCAGTGCCATTGTAACTTTGAATGGTCACTCCATACAAGCAAAGTACCAGCAAAGGAGGGAACAAAAACTCCAGAGAAGTTCCAGAGACAGGGAGTCTAGGCCTGCCAAGAATGTAATAAGGGTTAACGGAGAGGCAGTTTCTGTAAGCAACACCAGAATGTTTCCTTCCTGCCTTCCTTACAGGATTAGGCCAATAATTTCTTCCAACAACCGGTTCTCTGAACTGCTTAGAATGTTAAGGTTAGAATGTTAATGTAAGCTTAGAATGTTAATGTTAAGGTTCTAGCAAATAGGTGTGAACTGGTAGAATCCCACTCCTGATAGAAAGGCACTCTCTTCCTACAGTCATCTTACTTTAATTCTAGATGTTTCACTTCATTCCTTTTTTATACTCATTCCCCACCCTCCCAAGATACACTCTTGATACTACCAAAATAACGACCTGTTCCACATACAGTCCCACGCAACATAGTTATTTTCTTCTGTTTTATTTATCAGTTCATGTCTTTTACCATAACCTCCTATTATTTTCCAGTTAGGAGTCTTTCATTTGGCCTGGTCATAGTGACCTTTGCCACTTTTCATGGCTTTCACCAGTGGTGGGATTCAAATTTTTTTTACTATGGGTTCTGCTTGGTGGGCGTGGCAGGGGAAGGATACTGTAAAATCTCCAGTCAGAGGTGGCATTTGCTGATTCTCTGAACTACTCAAGATTTCCGCTTCCAGTTCTCCAGAACTGGTCAGAACCTGCTGAATACCACCTCTGGCTTTCACATAAGTAAAATAGAGATAGAGAATAGAGTCTAGACTTGGCTATCAGCCTTAGTCATACCCGGGCCAGATGCAGCTTTCCCAACAAACAAGGACAGCATCTATAAAGTTTGACAATGTTTTTCCCAGTATATGTCACAAGAACTTCTGAAGCCCAGTTTTACTGCCAGCAGATTCACTCTATTCAATGCAGCTAGATTTTCTACTCTCTACACTAGGGGTGTTGCCTACATCTCATCAAGTGTGTATTGATGCACAGACTTAAGATGCTTTCTGTTTAGTGCTGTACTACTTTTGCATGCAAAGCAGTCTTCTCAAATGTTACATTTCCTTCAGGGGTAGCTGTCAGAGGTCACCAGTGACTGGTGGAAAAAACACTAAAACCAGTAATCAACAAGGACCAAACTATGTGAGGCAGGTCCATTCCTCTCTTCTCCATCTCCCCACCTCCTTCCCTCTTTCTCCTAATATGCTTCCAGAGCAGAACAGAACACCTTTTCTCAAAACGTTTAGAATTGGTTGCAACAGGCTACCGATTGCCCATCCCTGCTGCAAGAGGAGTGGGCAACCAGTAGCCTAGATCTCGGTTCACAGACTCTTGCCCGGTTGTGGTTTGTATTTGGGGAGAAGGTGGCTTCCACCAGCCCTACTTTAGCCTAGGGAAATCAGCACGTGCAAGATTAGTCTGCAACTCAGCCTGGCGTGAAAAAAAAAGCAGAGAACGGAGTAAGTTGAGTAAGTAAGTATTTAGGGTCAAACTTGGGGGGGAGGGAGGGGGGAAAACCAGGCGCTGCTCAGCCAAAAAAAACAACAACAACACGTTCTTGAGGCTTTCTTGGAAGGGCACCTCTTTATGAGAGGGGCCATCGGAAGCGCTGGCAGCGAGGAGAGAAAAGGACCAAGCCCTCAGAAGTAAAAAATAAATAAATAAATAAATCCAGAGAGGCTGGGAAAGTTCCCTCGGCCTGTCAGTCACCCGGGCTTGGCCTAAATTGGCCCCGCCCTGCCCCGGCTGTGGGGTTTATAATGGGAACCCTGCCTCCCAATGGCTCAGGCTGAGGCGTTTAACCTGTTGCGGCCGGAGGGGAGTAGATTGCCCTCGCTCTCATCTGCCTACAGACGGTGTGGCAAGGGGGATAAAGTCGCCGACGCCCGGGTTTCTCCGGATAGTAGCCTCTTTTTTTTTTTTAAAAAAAAATATTTTTAAAGGAAGGCAGCAGCAAGTCGGAGACCCCCAGAAATAACACCTCGATCCGCTGCCTTCCCCGCAACGGATTGTCTTGCGGCGGCGATATTCCTTCCTGTTCCCCGAGGGACCATGCCTGCCAGAGGCGGGGGCTTGCTGACTGCTCGCTTGCTGTCGTTGTTGCTGCGGTTGCTGCTGCTTCTCTCTCAGGTCCAGCTCCACAGAACTACGGGCCCCCGGGTGAGTGTAACCCCCTCTTGTCCCCTCCTTTGGTACGGGAGGAGAGTGCTTCAAACACTTTCCTGGTTTAACTATCTTCGTGCTAACCCTTGAATCTGGTTTTACTCCCTTCTTGACAGGCGTTCTGCTGTTTAAATAGGCACTTGGAAGCTTGCTTTTTTTTAAAAGCCTTTTAAGAAACTTATAAAAGAAACCCCCTACCTCTCCATGTAAATACGTACTTAGTTCTAATGGAGAAATAATTCACACATTTTGTTTTCTTTCAAACTTAGACGTCCTCCTCGGAGCCCCGGTGTTTGAAAGATGGCCTTTTACCGTTATGAAAAGCGGTTCTTATAGAGCAAGTTGGAGACTTATAATAGGAAGGGAAAATGTGGTGTCTTGGAGGGTTTTTCAGCCCTGGTTTTTAATATTGTGGCTTTAATCCCAGGGATAAATTTGAGGGACCAAAGATCTGTTAAAAATGAACATATGGTTGGGTTAAAATTTAGCATTCTCTTGTTAAATTTGCATGGAACAAAGAATTACCATGCAGTCTAAACAAATCACTAGGACTTTGTTTTATTTTCCAAATGAAGATTGAATAAATGTTAGTTTAAAAATTAACCTTTTCCCCAATCACTCTGATGCTTTAGATTCAGGCTTGATGGATAGAAGAAGTCTGTTTTAATTTATGATAGAAGGATTGGCTAAATTAAATTTAAATGCTTCTCTCCCAGAAAGTTTTTTTTTTAAGAGCAGTGTAATTTAGTTTTATAGCTAACAGCCCGTGGATACTTTAAAGCAAAATTTGAACTAAATGGAATTTATTTTAAAGAAACTTGGATAGAATAATAGCATGCAATGAAGTGAGCTTGTAGTTCACAAGGCTTGTGCCTTTTAATAAAATGTGTTAGTCTGAAAGGGTGCTTCCAGACTTCTGTTGTTTTTTTTTCTCCTGAGTTTGGGCAACACTTCTGTAATGGATAGAATGGGCTGGACTATATTAAGTTTCAGTCCTTTTTGCCTGCCAGCCCCTTAAAATATACTTTAGAACTAAAGCTGATAAAAGTGCTTTCTGCTTATTTAACTCCACCACTGGGTATGCATTTATGTGTTAATTCTAATGTCTAATCCAGGTTTGTAGAGTTTTCATGAGCTGAAGTTGCTACTGAGAAGGCAGGCAGAGATTTAAAGAATCCAGTGGCAATGCATTGTGGTCAGCATCACCGAATGAAAGCTAGAAGGCCACAGAAACATCTGTCATTGTAAGAATGTTTGATGTGTTCTAAGGAGGAAGGAAACAGTATCCTGTTTAGCTGTACCTTTTAGCCCCTTTTATGACCAGATGTGTAGCAATAGTTAAAATGTGGCAGATTGAATCTAGAGCATGCCATAAATCCTTAGAGTCAAGAATTCCAAAGGCAGCAGAAATTTTGGGGTTTCTATTTAAGTCTGCACAAAGGATGTATTACCTAAAGTTTACTGCATACCAATTTAAGTCATGCTATTATGGAAGATAATGGCAGCTGCCTTTCAACACTTGACAGCATGTATAGAATCTATGCTTGGACCCCAAACGGTGGGATCTGAAGGGCTTAATTGGGAACAGTTGATCTGAGAAGTAAAACTTATGGATGTTGGCCTATATATAAACTGCACAAGCTTGTCTGTCAAATTAAAATCAAGTACAGCTTTTCATGTACTTGACTTTACAAGCCTCTCTAATTGCTCTCTGCACTATATCTTTTTTTTTTTTAAAAAAAGCTATTTCAAGAAATTCTTGGGTCATTGAAAGGCAGATGCTGATTTGTCATCTTGCCACATGGCTTCAACAAACCCTTTTCAGATAACATTTTAATATGTCTTTTCCTAGCTGGGTCACAGCCAAATATTTTCCTTCCATCTTTGTTGAGGAAGATCTATGTCCTTTAAAACGCTTACTTGTTTCCTCTTCAGTGTAAAACTCTGTATTTAATGATGTTTAACTCATAAATTCTGTCTCCAATTCCTTCCCAAGTGATTTGTTTGAAAAGTATGGTGGTTTTGTTTTTCTCCCATTAGTTTGTTAGTACATTTGAAGTGAAAAGGGCTCATCCTATCCTATGCCCTTTATCCTGCTGATTAGGTTCTGCCAAAAAAAAAATGTCAGTATTCTCCTGATGCAATGCTTTATGCTTCTATCTGCATAACAAAACACTATTTGAATAATTCATTATATGGTGATAAAAAGGTTAGGCCAATATCTTCTTTGCTAAACTACTACACCTTCTTAAGAAATTGCTTCCAGTTTTTTGTTTTTTTGTTTTATAATGGAGAAGAGGGCAATGGAGCACAGAAAGTTAGCAGAATTGCCATAGCTTAGGCTTGGAAATCTGGATTTGTGGAACATTAATATTTGCAATTGAATTAAAAATTGCGAAAGTATTCCAAAATGCCAAAAATATAACATTACTTATTGTTTTCCATGGATATGAACTGTCTGAGAAGGAAAAAAAAATTGACTCCCTAATTAATGAACAAGCTGATGAAAAATTGTATGTTGTATCTCCAGACTCTCTACTTAATCAAAAAAAGCAGCACTTTTTTCTGTTCTAAATCTAAATAAAACAAATATTTTGAATTATGAGATGTTAAAATCCAACTTTAGGACGAATCAGATATTTTCAGATCCTGCTGCCCCATTAAATGCTAAAAAAGGCACAGGTGTGTCTGTGTGTACAGTATAAGGGGGAGGGACTTTGAGAAAATGTTCTTTTAAAATACATATTCATTTACTGAATTTGAACTCTGCTGCAATAAAAAATATACAAAGAAAAAAGGAAAAGATCCATTGTAAAAAGTAAAACTGAAGCAATACCATGCATTGTTCAATCTAATGGCACCAACATATTTTTCCAGGGTTCTGCAAAACATTGTTTTCTGTAAGTTGTTGAAAATAAGAATGGGTTCAGATACAATTACCAGGAAGGGGGTGGAGGACTAATACAAATGTAGGTACACCCAGTCAGAAGGGGTCTCTTTGACCTTCCATCCTACCTTTACCTTATGGGAGTGGGGAATTACAAACCCATTCTTCTAAGATGTTTGAGTTGGGTGGGTCAAAGCTGGGCAATGAAAGGGGACCTCAAGGACTTGAGTGTCAAGTCACTTTCTCTATTAAACTGCTCAAGCTTCCTTTTGAACTGAATTAAACCACTTCACTGAAAATCCAGGCTGGATTGGGGATCTTGATACCTCTTTTATATCCAATCAAATTAGAGTAATAATAGTAAGAACTTCAGGTTCATTACAGAAGATGAGGTTGTCTAATGCAGGTGTGCATAATCTTTTCCAGCCTGAGCGTTGCTGTTGGTACATCAAAGCCATGTTTAAATAACCAAGCAGAGTAAACAGAATGTAATGGGTTGGAATAAAGTAAAATTTTAATTTGCATAAAATGAAATTCAGTTATTACTGCTTAAATTTGGAGGAGCACTAAACACTGAACCTATGGCTTTGGAATATGCATGTAACTTTGGACTTTCAGGTTATGAGCCATGGTGACACAGCTATTAGAATAGTCATTACTTCTGCTGACTGCCATCTGACTGCAGTTTGGTAGTTTGAATCTCATCAGGCTCAAAGTTGACTCAGCCTTCCATACTTCCAAGATTGGTAAAATGAGGACCCAGATTGTTGGGGGCAATATGCTGACTTTGTAAACCGCTTAGGGAGGGCTGTAAAGCACTGTGAAGTGGTATATAAATCTAAGTGCTATTGCTATTGTGTACCTTCCGTTCGAGTTAACATATTAAGATTGTGGCGCTCCAGCTAGGTGATTCCTAGTGCTGTCACCCAAAGGACACCCCACAAATATTTCATTGTTCCCTCTTCAGTGTTTTGCAAGAAGAAACAAAGGGAAAATGGGTATTTCTAGTAAGAGGAGAAATTATACCAGTGGTTCCCAAAGTGGGCGGTACCGCTCCCTGGGGGCCAGTGGGATGACTTAGGGGGACAATAAGAGGCAAGGGGGTGGCAGAGGAGTGCTGGAGGTGGGCTCCTTGCAGGGAGCAATTCAGCTCCCCCCCCCACTTGCCTGGCTTGCTGGTGGCCGAGAGGAAGGCGAGCCAGGGCTGACCTGTTGCCGCTTGGGTCCCGTCTGGATTCTCCGCAGTTGCTGGGCCTTGCCTGCTAGGGGTGGGGGGCGACCAGGGGGCACGATGTTATGCTTCCCGCATCACCCCTTGCCTGCCGTCCTTTCCTCTGCCGCCCGCCATCCTGTGCACTTTGGCTGAATGTGGGCTGCCGCTGTGAGAATGATGCGAGTTAAGCCTCGCGAGAGCGGATCTTCCACCCATGGAGCTTGCATAGCGGTGGCCTGCACTTGGCTAAAAGGCTCGGAGAGGCAGCTGGCAGAGGGGCGATGCAGGCGGTGTAAGCCTTGTGCTTCCTGATTGCCTCCCGCACTACCCCTCAGCAGCCGCGACTCATGAGCCCCAGCAGCTGACGAGATGCTGGTGGGGAGTCGAGTAGTGACAGGTCTGCCCTGAGTGGCTCACCTTTCCCGACTGCCTACAAACTTACCTTCCTCCCGTGGCTGGTGGCAGAGGGAAAGGTGAGCCAGTCAGGGTGGGCTGGTTCACCTTTCCTGCAGCCTCGCTTGAGGTTCCCAGCCCTAGGAGGGGATGGAAGGAAGGGACAGAAAGAAAGAGAGAAAGAAGAAAAAGAAAGAAAGAAAGAAAGAAAGAAAGAAAGAAAGAAAGAAAGAAAGAAAGAAAGAAAGAAAGAAAGAAAGAAAGAAAGAAAGAAAGAAAGTGAATGAGATATCTAATCCAATCACCTGCTCCAGCAGGGTTAGAAGGGAGTTTGTATGTGTGTGCATGGCTATCAAAATTCCAAAAACAGGTCAAGTAGCTGTGGGGAGGTCAGTCATAAATTAGAACACTTGCTAAACGACCAACCATTAAGCGAGGACCACTTGTATTTGGTTTGCCAGTCACATGACCACCCAGCCACACTCACAAATTAGGCCACAGCCA